GTGCGAAACCGGAGCGAACAGCTAGTTAAGGTATATATATAAAGATATTTTTTTTAATTTATAATCCATAACCTGTATTGAAAAATACATTTTGTAGAAAATATCGCGGATTTACAATATAACTAATAACTATCTATTATTTTATGAATTACTGAATTATTTCTGTGAAAAATTTATTACAATACTATTTCGGAATAAAATTATATATTATTTCTCTATCTTGTGCCTTTTCAATATATATATTCTATATACTTACAATAATTTTAATACAAAAATGAACAAATCAGATAACTTTGTCAAGGAAAATACAATCAATAATTGAATTCGTAAAATCCATAATATTAACTTACTTTTTTTAATTTTCACTTCCTATCAGGTGAGCTGTTAGCTTGTTTGTCTATTCCACTTCATAAAATAAATCTGATGAAAATTATGGCAAACATATGACATACACATCATGGACATTATAGAATGCGTTTAGTTCCCATGATAGCATAATCTATGCATTGTCTATATTGAGGACTGAGATAGTGGGTGTCTCTAATATATATGTACCATATGTCTATAATTTACTGTTATATTTTATATAGGCATACTCCTTAAAAAGCCGTTGAATAATAAAAAAATTAAATAATTAAAAAAATCTATTTTGTTATATGGATTAATTATTTTATATATTATATATTTTTATCCAGACAGACAAAACCAAACAAAAGATTTTTCGTAAGTACAAAGTATCCGGATAAGTCACAAGTGAGTGTAAAAAAGTAATATAAACAATTAAGTACTTGTCCATTACTGTAAACATTTCGCAAGGACCATAAATAAATTCTCGGTAGAATTATTATTACAGAATAAACCAATAATAATAATAAAATAAAAGTATTTTTTTAATTTAAAAACCATTGACTATAAAAGTAAACTTACGTATTTTTGTAGATGCGTCTTATGTAAAAACTCACGGATTTGGCTGACGACCGAACAGCCACAAAGCAACGCGTGCACTGCCAGACACCAGCTCTGTCATGACCTCACCTCTCTTTACTGTTGGGAAATGCTGTCTATATGGTAAACACACGCATGCTTATTGTTGCAAGCAATACATCACGACTGATTTTTAAATAAATAAGCCCATACAATATAATGACGTTAACATTCAGTAAAATAAATTATTTTAAAAATACTTATTAAGTTAACTTAGAAATCGCAGGTTTTTTAAAATTATGATAAGGGAATAATGCACCCGCCTGCGCTAACGGTTTACGGTGGCGGGGCACCAGTGGAGGATGATAAGATGAGCATGAGGTTTATGTTATAGAAGGAAAAGTATCAAATAAAAATAAAATGTACATACATCCAAAACACTATTTTAGATATTTTGTATATTAATTATGGAGAATAATTTAAAAATTATTTAGTCTAAATACAAAACGCGATTTGTGTTTAGCTTTTATAGTTTAAAAATCAAAACTCATTCAAAATGCATTAGTTAATTAATAAGATTTGAGATGTTATATAATTTGTTGAAAATTAATTTAATCCTAGTTCATTGTAATATACAGGATATATATGTTTTACCCAACTGCAAACAAAAGTAGGGTTATGTTTTACATGTAGTACATGTCAGTATTTGGCGCTTATAAATTTTAAATTAGAATGAATGTGGAGTCATTTGATTAAATTTTTATTACAGAATTGCTACAAAATATGTATTTTAACGACATTGTACCTAAAATAAAAATGGCGGCCAATAATAATTGTAGTTCAAGTATTTCCGTGTAACGATACGTATATTTAACTCATTATAAGACCTTAAATGGAATTGAAAGTTCAGTTATCCAATTATTCTAGCAATTGAATACATTAAGTTATACGTATTCATATTCACTGCAAGTTGCACTAAATGTCGAAGTTACACTATTGTAGTTTTTGACTGTTGGCAAGCCACTTTATTATTGTGGAAAGGTAATGTTGACCTCTTTGTAACAAGAAATAAGTACTTTTTTGTGGCCATTATTATTACGGCTTACTTTTAATAGATGCCGTTCACGTTTGACTGATGACCTACTCTATCAACATCTCAACATTAACATCAGTTAATTATGATAAAGAAACAGCGGACTCAGCTGCCGATGCTGATGCGAAAAAATGAAATAAAATTAGTTATTTTTTCTTTAAAAAACAATTTGATTACAATAACACAGTCTTGGGATGACCTAGCAAGCATAACAATTCTTGTGTAAGATTGATTCTGCTCTTCCTTATAAATTGCCTCTACTCTAGGTACTAAAGTTGTACTAGTATAGTATTAACTCAAAAGTGCTACTTGGACAAGTGCAACCTTTCTTCGCAGTTGACAAACTAATCATAGAATACACTGCATAAAAGATGGTGACATTTAGTGAAACATTCTTTTAAAGTCGGTTCAAATGGTTAAATATATATTAATTTTGTTTAACGTGTAATTTTTTTAATATTTATTCGAATAGAAACCAACAATGCAGTAGGTCAACATTTCCTGTTATGTGTAGAAATAAATTATACTTTGTTTGTATTTCATAAAATCCTGAATAATTATATTATGTGTACTTATATGGAAGTTGATTGTTATTAATTGAACATAATCATGTAAAGTTGTACCGTACAAAAGAGTGTCTTAAATAATTATACTAAGTGTAATAAATTATTTATTCGTCATAAGTTAAATTTACTCACTTAGAGTATATTTATTTGCTTACTTTATAATAAAATATTATTTACCTTATTGGATTTCTATTTATAATAATAATAATAATAAAGTAAATTAACCGTTGGCGTCCTTATTTATTTACTTTATTGTAAACAATTTTTAAAAGAAAACCCGAAGAACTGACGTTACCGAAAATAGTTAAAAGATGTGTGTATATATATTGTTATTGTTTTTTCTTTCAAATTTATTTCCCACGGGTGGGTAACGGCGCCATCTATAGCTCGAGATTCCATGCATCTCCACTTGCGGATTGATTATCAATTTCTTCAGCAAATTATTTCAGAATGTCATCAATGTGTTCATGATACATTTTACAGTTTTTATTTTTATTGATACGCTTACAAATTTAGTATATATTTTTTCTTTTCTCATTATTATTTTAGGAACTATTATTTTTGGTAGGTCAGTCCCATCATAAGTAAGGTACCTATAAGATAATTAACAAAATGAGACATTTAGTGAAAATGAAGTATGGAAAAACTACATACACTGAAACTGTACGGTATAGGGTTTTAGTTAAGAACTAGTTCTTTTAAAGTTAATCTTTTGCCTACAATTGTAATATTGCTGTCAACGCTCGACACTCTTCCATTTGTATATATATCCACATAACTTAGATTTAAGTTCAGTGTAAGGAATTCACTACGGCATTGAGTGTTCGCATTTATTAATAAGCCATGTAACACACGATCAAATAAACTAGCTAACGTAGTACAAGCATTTCACCTGTAGACTCACTACCCAGATCATCATCTGCTTCTTCCTTATCCCATTTATTTTGGGGTCGGCGTAATATGTTTTTCTCTTCCATTGCTGCTGATTGCGAACAGGGTTTGTTCGCAGTCATCTCGTTATTTACTCCCTTTCTTATCATATCATCTTTCACACAGTCCATCTTTTTCGGTTCGGATATTATAGGAATTCAATAAATTAAGTAGTGACAGTACATCACATCATCATCATCATTGTAGCGTTACATACGCTACAATGGTGAGGTGATAATCATCACTCTACAATTTTAACACATATCTAACGAATCCGGAATCGCTTGTGACATCTTCTAAATCGCTTCTTATCAGTAGTTGTAGTAGTAGTATCTTTTATAAGAAGGGCAATAAAATGATTGATAATAATGTTTTTGTAGAAAAAAACTTATTTAAAACTCATAGTGCTGACAATATAATCTGATTGCAGAAGATTGAGTGCGTAGCAGATTCTATATTGATTGTTGTATCTCTTAATAGTCCAAACAGGTGGTGACTTGGTGGGATGGGTCATTGGGCTCCTTAAAATGTAGTTGAGGGCACTCATGGCTGGCTCACCCGTTATACTCATGAACGGTTGCTGCTTGTAGTGGCTGGTCCGATCTGATAATTGTAACTGTTTTTTTTTACTTAAATAACTATGTTTTATTTACATTAACTTTGTTATTTGGTAGATTGTATTCACAAAAAATTAATAAAAATGTAATTGTGAACAATGTTGTACTACCCAGCCGGCAGGTAATAATTAGCAATAAACAGCAATATATTTAAAAAACCACTTTATTCAAAATCTTATTTCTTATATGTTATCCTTATGTTTTAATATATCACAATATCAGAGCACCAACAAGCGTCATGGATATAAAAATAAATGAAGTAGGTCCTGAGCGGCATCTAAATTTTATTTCCTCCCTATTTAATTGTAGTAGAATTATATAGCAATAAGGTATAAACTAAGTATAAGTACAGTATTCTCTCGTAGTCCTACTTTTTCTCTTATTACTAATACATGGGACTACGATTTAAAGCTATTTTTCATGATTCTACTGCGATGTCTTGAGGTAACATAAATATCATACCACTTCCCCATGAAACAAATATTCGATGAAATGCAGGAAGTTCAATACTAAAAAATACACGTATTTCCCGGTTAAATGAGTATGAATGTTAAACTTCGAATAATCAAACAGTGTTTTAAACTTATATGTTGTCATACAACATATGTACATATTATATAAAGGTACCAATATAATATTATTTATGGTCTCCAGTTTATATATTTGTAAACAACCGTGAAGAAAGTTTAACACAGTTTTTTATATTAACATTATCCTGCTAATTCAAAGTAATTTAAAATACTTATGTGAAATGGCAAGTAACTGAACCCTTGTGATGAGATGATGGTAAGTGGCAATTGTTATAACTAAACATGAACAGTACCAAGGTCACATCACAGACCACATCGTCTTTAAGAGATTGCCTTTCTCTTAATATTAACATCGCCTTTTATATGAGACATTATTACCAAATGGGTATTTTAGGTTATTTTCAGTGCCTCATAAAATGTTGATATGTGTATTTTTTCTTAATATTATTACATTAATTTACCATTGATGTCGATTATGGGTTTCAATTTGTAAAGATTAACAGGTAATTAAATTCCATATTCAATCATTTTTACAATGTTTATCATTTAAACTATTTGGTTTTAAAATTAATTGTACGTCATTTAATATATTTTGCTGGTTTAAATTGCGAATTTTGGTACCATCAACTAACCATGTTGTGATATCTAAAAAATAATCTACTCTCAATATACTCAAACTTAATTTCTCAACATCGAATTCCTTAGCAATGAATGCAAATACGTTCATAATTACTTCTCAAAAAATATAATATTATTGTACTATATAGCTGGCAATTTCTTCAACCATCCTAACACATATGACATCTATCGGTATAGACTCTAGAATCTACTAGATTTCTTTTTAGCGATGTAATTGGGACATGGAACAGGTCATCCGCATCCCTTAGGGAGGTGAAGGTTAGGGCCTCAGAGCGAACCCTTTTGACCGAAAATAGCGTATGATATAAAAATGAATAGCTAAAATGTATTTTGTGACTTCCCTCCAAAAGCCCATGATCAATATACCATTGATACAGAGTAAAAAACGAAAATTAAAAATAATGATATTCTGCTATATTAATCTATAGACAACTGTCTAAATGACCCGTCTATGCCGAAAAGCTCATCATAGTTGGTCGGTGTCCCTGGTCTGAGGGCTTCGTTTGCTATCACTGATTCTTCAGCAAGGAACCAGTCTTTGTATTCTCCCAGCTTCTTCTCCCAAGCTTCTGTAATTGACAGAAAGAAATAATTTAATATGTCAATAATATAAACGTGCACGTTTGTACAAATATTTGAATATTTGTTTAATTTTATAGAAATCGTGTGCAAAAATAGAATATATATTTGTTATGTAAATATATAATTGTGTCCGATATTTCGTTTAATTATTTATTCAAGATTTATAAACCAGACAGTATAATTAAATAAAAATGAAATCAGGTTAGGCCACACTAGGAATAAACCATAACGGTTTCTAGGGTACCCCTTAGAGACCGTGGTACTTCGTAAATGGCATTATTACCAACAATGCCAAATTGTCAAACAAATAATTGTCTATATACTCACATAATAATAATAATAATTAAGACATTTATTCAGCTTTACATCAGCATTCCTATTTACAATAATGTTTCCTGTGTAATACAACTAGTTAACTATTAAGATCAACTTTTGAACTTACTTTGAATTTCGTCAATATGGCCACTAGTTCCACCGAATTCCACTGGGAGTATATCCTTAGGCACATATTCGTAAAGTGTCTCAAGATCGTGGTGAATAAATATCTGGAACATAAATGATTGTAATATTATTTTAAACTGTTTTTACAATTGTACACATTATACAAATTTGTTTGAACGTAATAATTGTTTATATCCACCGACAACCTCATGACCAGGACGTTTGTGACAGAAACATAAATATCGGTGCTCTAAAATAGTAACATTGCAAATATCTCGTTTATATAATACTAGCTGTCCAAACGTTGTTTTGCCACATAAATTAATAACGCTATAAAAAATATTTGAAGATAGAAGGGTGAAAATTTAGGGTTGTATGTATTAATAAAAAAAAAAATATTAGGGGTGGACAACCCTTATCACTTAAGGGTATGAAAAATAGATAGTAGCCGATTCAGAGGAGTATGGTAACTAAGATTGTGACACGAGAATTTTATATATACGATGTATTATTTTAGGATCTTTGGATTATTGGTATACGCAAGTAGAGCAACACTGGAAAATGTTAAGTTGAGTATGAGGGCAGGTGAGTTAACCATTCGTAGTAATTTGTGGGTAACACATATAGATCGATCTGATATAATTAGGAATAGGTATAATAATAAATATTGGTAGATAAAAAACAAATTGTTATGACTATTCAAAAGTGCTTAAATTAAGTTTATTTGAATAAATGATTTTCTATTCTATTCATTGTTAGGAATAGGTCTACTAATCCCAATTATCATCGATCCCCTCCCATCCCTTTTCAACACTAGTTGTAAGTGGTACCTTATTTCGGGCCTGGTGTCATTCATGTACATGTGTAATACAGAACGCTTTGTACAACAACTTTGTATGTTTCGAAGAAATAATGAATTTACTTACCCGCTTCTTTATTTTCTCCTTGAGGAATGGTTTTACCATTGACAAGACAGCATCCACCAGAGGTGATACATTAACCACGTGCACCTCTTTGAGTTTTACGGGATATGCCTCCTGAAATTGATTAAAAATACGAATTTGAATATAATAGATTCATAATAACATTATATATTTTTGAACTTTCGCGTTTAGTACATAGTATTAATATAGTTACACGAGTTGAACACTAATAATTTTATGGCTTACTCCGGTCAAAACAAAACCTTTGGTCTATTATCAAATATTTCCGCAATTTACGCGATACAAGATTTTTTTTATATTTATTTGCAGGTTGGGTTACAATTTTGAAGTTTTCAAACAGATCTCTAATGTTTTTGAAACTATTATATCGCTTGCTGTGTTCATCACCGATAATGTAGGTCTCCAAAGGTTTTTTTTTTCAAACCGGTCCAGAAGTTTCGGAGTTCATTCAATGCAAAAAACAAACAGATCAGTCCTCTTTATAATATTAGTATATATAATGTACCTACATACCTGTATACATATTAAAAATCTCTTTATGGCTCCAGGGGATATTTTTCCCAAATGGCTGGGGGCCAAAATGGAGGCATCCAAAACATACACATCTCCTGCCACACCCTCTAATTCCTCGTTCAATCTGATATCTCCCATCATCATGGCGAGTTTGAAAACATTGTTCAAATGACTTGGGTCTAGAGTTTTATCCAAAGCTGGAAAGATATAAATATATATTTATGTAACTGGAATAGCAAACAAGCTGATTTATTTATTACCACTTTTTTTTTTATTTTGCACACAAAATTGTATATATGGCGGACTTAATGCCTGATGGTATTCTCTAGCAGTCAACCATCGCGCTGATCAGAGATAGTAAGGTGGTGCAATTTAATAATATATATAAAGATATAAAAATAAATAAATTAAGAAAAATAATACATATATTACCGTACTTGATGGTAAGTGGTTACCATCGCCTGTATACATAAACACCACTACACATCATGCCTCTTATCCTGTAGTTTGCTTGTCTAATCTAACCCAACAACCGAAATACAGCTCACAAAGCAAGCTGCTTGGTGGCTGAGTTATGTGAGACTAAGATTACATAGACGTTTTTTAAATTGTCTACCTGTCTTTATTAATTTATAAAATTTTACTGCAGTTGTAGAACTATCATCATTATTACATAGTATAAAACAAAGTCGCTGTTGCTGTCTGTCCGTCCCTATGTATGCTTAAATCTATAAAACTATATATTATAAAGTACACACACTAAAAATGTTCTTTATATACACAAATACATATAACACTGCATTTGGATTAAACAAAAGTTTTCAATTTAATGGACAATAATGGATATTTAAAATTATTATATTAATCAGTTATGAACCCATGTACTGACGTGCTAATGACCATATTACATAACCTCCAACGTTAGTATAAGAGCGGATACTGTTAAATTAACTGACTTCGCTGCCATTTTAATTATTTTATTGTCAAGAACCTTGTTTGTGTTGACATGGAATGATAAAATTTAATTATAGTAATTTACCTCTTGCAAGAATGACCCGGTAACCTTTTGGCGTCAATCCAGGTAGGGTTGGCCCTTGCCTAAAAGAACAGAATATTTTTAACTATTAGACAATTAGTATTAAATAAATAAATAACCCTGGACAATCAATACAGCGCCGTTTAGTGCCACGGTAAGCAGAGCTTGTGTTATGGGTGGGTGTTATGTGTTATGGACAACTGATATAAATACTTACATATATTTTTTCTAAATACTTTTAATACATAATATATGTAGAAAACACCCTAATCGATACAAAAAATCATACTTATGAATACAAATGTATATACCGTGCGAGGAATCCAACCCGAGACCATCGGAAGTAAGGCGGTGTTTTAAACCGCTATACCACTGAACTGTCAAATATTAATTTACACTATATATACTATATAAATCTGCTAAAATTTAATAAATACTCAAGTGTGTCGGTTTGTAACAGTTTTAGGACAAATTGCTGAACGGATTCTGATAAAAATTGACAGAACATAAATTATATAACGAGAACGGACATAACGTATGTTATTGTTTATCTTATAGACGAAGTTGCAATTACAGCTAGCAATGTAATTGTGAAGATAATTCTATGATTTTTACGTTAAACTATAAAACCAATTTTGATTATTTTTTAATATACCTATATTATTAGATTGAACTCTGCCGAACGATATTGACTACTTTTATTTGTGAAAATAAAAGTTAAAGGGATAAATTAGGGAAAGAACTTCGTCATTTAATCTTGTGATAAAATAGAGTGTTGTTGTTGTTGTCTGCATGTTTTTTATTAAGATACGTACAGTCGTTTAGTCGTGAAAAGTTCATATATATACAGACACAGTTTTGAAACTATAATATTAGTATGTGTGGTTATATACGAGAATAGAACATTCACAATTTAGAGTCAAATTGCGGAAAAACAGCGTTCCTTGTAAGGCCTCGCTTTTAACATGCAAAACATTATGTGAATATGGTTTAAAGCCATGACCTGTAAGTCAATGAGATACGAAAATGCTATGAAACATAAAAATGCAAGATTTTTATTGTGATAGTTGTATTACATGTATCCTAATGATAATCATGCAGATAATGACATGTAGGTAACATTAAGAGGTCTAAAAACCTTATTACTATGTAATATTCTCTTATCTGTATTATAACTAGCTCCTTTGGTTGGTAAGTTATTTTTTTTTATTAAAAAAGTATGAATACTAATAATAATCAACTCTTTAGAGAAAATTCTGACTGTTTTGATTCAGCTAGGTATTAAGATATACATATGTCAGAAATAGATTCCTACTTGTTTGTTACAGACGATAGATAGCGCTTAGATGATCCCCTTAGAAATACATAGGCAAATGTGTGTTTAAACGAATGGTTTATATAATATATATAAACCATAGTAGTAGTACTACATCATCCTCTATTTCACCCCTTCCCAGATTAAATTTAAGATAAAACCTATAAAAAAAATAAAGTCTATGTTCATTGTAATAGATAAATTTGGCAGTTTAGTCGTGAAAAGATTATAAACAAGCAGACATATGCGCATTCGTATTTATATGTACTTATACTATTATTATAAATTTAACTCACCTCAGCACCGATTATTACAATATTGTACGTATACAGAAACGAAAACAAAGAAATTCATGTCAGTTATGTAAAATGAGGCATAAAGTTTAATTTTAAGAGTAAGTGAATAGAGAGATAATAGATGCAAATTTGTCGATCATTTTGCAACTATTTATGACACATATTTCCCAATTTCATCTCACATGTATGATTCACTATTACAGTGATTCATACATGTGAAATTGATAAATGTTTACAGAAAACATTTAATATTATCTTATCTGTACTGGCTAATAAAAAAATAGCATAAGTAGTAGGTATATGTAAAAGATAATTACCCTCTGCTTAATAAATCTTTGAGGTCCGGTCTTGTTACATCTCTCTGAGTGAAGAATTCTGGACATGCTGTACGCATAGTAAAATACATGTCCAATTTCTTCTTGCATTTTTCTAGGGAGAAATTACTTCCTCGAAGGAATGACATCAGACACTGGTCATCTGTAAATTAAAAAATAATGCTATGTAAATAAAAGTAACTTGTTTTAATTCATGAATTTAATCCTCCTAAAATACTGTTTTATGCTGGAAACACTGTATTGCAGGGGCACAAGGAAGAAAGAGGTGACAACTATTGAATTTTGAGAAGGGTCAGAAGAGAAGAGAAAGAATATACTAATGGTTGTAATATGCAAATATATTGTTGATTATTCAGAATTAATATTTAGGAATAAATGTCATGATCGAAATACTAAACGTAAGTAATGAATGAGATTAAAAATATGATATTTTTGTAAACAATGTTTTTTTTAATGCTTAATAAAAGAAAGGTAACAGGAAAAAGTAGAAAATAAAAGAATGGCACTTGCCTCCGCTAACGGTATATGAAGGTTGGTATAAGCAGATATGAAGTCAGGTCAGTAAGCGTATTGTAGTAAATTTATTACGAATTACGTTCATTTCTGTCTCATCTTATGATTCTTAGAGATAGATGTATAAAGTGAACTCTGTGTACATCTGTCACATAAATTTCAGCTAGCCGCAAAGTAGCTTCTATAAGCTATGTTTTGGTTTTATAGTGAGTAAAATTACAGGGTATGGAGGCATAGCATCTAGGAGTATCCTAGCTGACTGTTACCACTTATCATCAGGTGGGCCTTTACCTTTATAAATATATATAAAAGTCTATGTATAAGGACAAAAAATTCAAGAATTATAATTTATGCCTTACGCCATTCATCAGGCAGGTGCGGTTGCTTTCGCAACCATTCCTTGATCGTAGCGAGGTCCTGGTCACGTGTATTTACATTCTCGTTCAGCTCTTCTCTGATCTTCTTCCACAACTCCCCTGAAGGTTGGATGAGTAATGCAGTAGACATGTTTGATCTGAATACAAAAATATATATATTATGTATATTGTATTATATAACTTGTATAAAGTGCATCATTTATGCATCTATTCTTAGATTAACTATATATATTTTAACTAACTTCTTTTAGATTATACGTTGACCCATATATAACTACATATTTTGTTAATCATCATAATCCATTACAGCCATTTTTATTTGAAACATTACATATCAATAGATAAATAACTAAAAACATACAAACAGTTTTTGTCTGTCAATAGAAAAATATCTCTTAGGTATTTAAGAAGATCTTCACCAGTATATTTGCCAGTTAATTGAGATAATAACATTAGTAATTCTGTTTTGACAAAGACAGTACTTAAAAGACACATAAAAAAACCGTAGCATTGTCGCTGTGTTATTATGAAAATTATGAAGATCTATCTATTCATTTATTAAACCGAGAATCTCATCGTTCGCGCAGTCGGTTGGAAACAACCAGTCTTTTTTATAAAAATACTTATTCTGGTTGACTGACCTCACATAATCATAGATTGATCGAGGTAACTTTTTTACAAAGTCGTCTGATCAGGTAGATTGCGGGCAAGACTGAAATCCATCGAAATGGCAACTCATAAGGTTTGGGGGCAAATGTTCATATTACATACATGGCATCAGGCGGACTGTAAGCTTGTTTGATATTCGAATACAATAGAAAAGAACCATTAGTAATTAACATTTTGTGTTATCATATTTTGATATCACCCAGCAGAAATAGGTATGTTAACATTGCAAAAAATGTATCGCTTGGGTTTCATATCAGTTTAGAAACGACACTACACAGTCTGTGTGGTTGAAAATCCATTCATGTATATACTGGAAAGTATACACTTTATCCTGAGGAGATAAAAACCATAGCTTCTAAGAATATCCTTCCAATCTTGTTACTGACGGGTTTAAGTAACGAGCTTTCAAAAAGGTCGCAGTGCTACAGGTCTTAGTTCCTGATAATAGCTCAAAACTAATAAAAAAAACATGTCTAGTTTTTCGAGTGAAGTAGCTAGCGATACTGAACGGTAGGGATAGTGATAAAAAATTATAACTTGCATAAGAGGCCAAAAGGTATAAATTATTTTGAGTTAGAGTCAGTATTAAAACTAATGTAAAAATAAACTATATTCTAATCCTAAAAGCAGACTTGAATATAATAAAAGAGACGTTGTTCTATTACATATAATTATGTATTATACAAAACAATACACAACGTATACAAAACAAGAAACATAATATTAATTTTCTTTAATTATTATTCAGCAATAAGAAATTATCATTATTTTAATTTTGTGAACACCGAGTTCAGAAATGAATATGCAAATATATAATAATAGACAGATTATTCATTTTAATTAGATAATAATGAATTCTATTGTTTCAGTACATACGTATGAGGGGCAGTGCCCCCCTGTTTATCTAGACATCATCGCTCAAGGAGATACTCGATCATCAACAACATCATCACAATAACAATGAATTTTTAGTAGTTTATTTAAAATTATCGATTACTAGCTTAATTCTGAAGAGCTGTCTATGTATGATGGGCTTACTTATAATATATTCAGCATTTGATTTTGTTTATGTTTATGCATTATAGATAAAGAAAATACTATATGATGTTATAAACAAATGCCTATGTTCATTATATAATCTATCGTTACCTTGAACTTCTTTAAGATCTTTTCAGCCGTTTAGTCATGAAATAGTAGGTAACAGAAGATGTACATAAAAACTCTTTCGCATTTGTAGTTATAGAATTGTAGTATGGAAAATATATGTACTTTGTACCTTCTTTTTCTTTAAAAGAATGTATTAAATGATGCAGCTTAATGGTCATACTCTTGATATATAAATATGACGTAAAATAGTTAAGAAATGCGTGTCCCCTACCATAGTTTACTGTTTGGTAAGATATTGCTCTGACATCACTGAGATACGCAGCCGTCCTCTACTGAAGGCCATATCTCTAGAATTCTATTGAAACAAAGCATCTAATATAGCCATTTATACTACTTTCTACAAACGTAATTTTACATCATTATTAGCTGTGCTTGCGGTTACACCCGTGTAAAAATTATAGTCTATATGTTATTCTGATGTATAAGCTATACTACTGTAAAGTTTCATAAAAATCCGTTGAGTACTTTTTATGTGAAAGAGTAACAAACATCCATCTATCCACATATCTATGTATTCATACTGACAGTTTCGCATACATAATATTAGTAAGATGTTTGTAGAAAGTAGTATAAATGCCTATATTTATATTATAAAATCCCCCGATTTTATTATGCCTTGACTTCATCTGTGTCACATTTTCCCCGTTTTTGGAACTGTTGTCATTGATGCTTCGCTCCTATTGGTTATTGCGTCATGTAGTATGGGCTATAACCTTCATCCATAAATGGGACATCCCATACTAAAAGAGTTTTTAAAATCAGATCAGTGGTACCTGGGATTACCCTAAACATCCAAACTCTCAAATTTTACCTCTTTTTAATATTAGTATCTTCATTTCTTCTTTGCACCTTAATGATTATAAATTGATCAAACATTTATTTATTTCATCTGACAAAAACAAAACTCTAGCTTATAATGTTTATCTAAGGCTGCAAATGCCTTAAAATCACTTTCACCGTCTAATTCTGCCACCTGCAGTTTGCAACCTGTGTTCCGGTTTTAAAAGTGACATATAAAGAAATTAGTAATGTAATACGGGAATGTGATAAGTTAGTCTTCAGGAATGACAACGCATGAGATGTATCATGGATGCTATAATTTTATGATAACCTGTCCGTTCATGTAAATTGGCTACGGTTGCCATTAATCACCAGATTGCAATACAAATACCTAGAATAGCAATTGCAGCTAATCGGCTACATAGCTTAGCTTTTTTGCAATTCAAGTACCAAAACAAACTTCCAGTATTGAGATGTCTGTTTCCACTTAAACTATTGGTCCACCCTTCTAATTAACAGTTGGCAATACCCACGACCGAATGGACCACGCTATGAAGCAATTTGACATTAACACACATTTGAGAATATATTCGAGGTTAAATGCATAATTAAGTTCACCATAGAAAACATGTTTGAAAATTTATACTTTTGATTCTTATGACTGATAAGTAGAATGAATCGATCGGTGAAAATTATATACGTCAGTTAACCATATATCCTTTTTTATTAACTGTACTATTACTCCCTGTTTAGAATAAGCACTAGGTCCCTTTTCAGAACCGCCGTGGATAAAATAAAGTTCACCATAATGATCTATTATTCCTAACCAAAGCAATGTCTTTCTAATGCAAACAGACACAATAATTTGTTTTATAGAATAGAATAGAATAGAATAGAAAATCATTTATTCAAATAAACTTAATTTAAGCACTTTTGAATAGTCAACATTTTTTTAAATGTAATGTACCTCAGTCTACCTGTATATATAATCTTTTACTGAATTCCATCGCGGTGGGATTGGCATACAATTTCATTTATTCATTCGTACATCGTCAAATGCTATTGGAATATTATGTTCTTTTCTTATGATCTGGTGCTAAAATTTGGTGCACATATAAATCATACACTAGATTAACCATCAACTGAGAAGGGACACTCTTAGAAATCCCGGGAAATAGGTAATACTTATAAAACGGAAGAATTATCGTCCACTATAATCACTTACTAACTCTAAAGTATCAGAATGGTGCAACTTTTGCGATCGAAATATCTTTGCAACAGAATTGCACAAACCAAATTGTCCAACCAATACCCAAAGCGGATATGCTAAATTGGATTTATCTTATAATAAAACTGGAATTACCATTGCCTTAGTTTGTATCTAGGGTAGGTGGTTAAATAATTTAAGAGTTAGGTCGACGTAGATAAACTGTAATCATAATATAATTAGAACCTATGAGACTACCATATAACGAAACAACCTGTACCAATTCAAAAATAAATGTACAAAATCATCAGTAAAAATTTAAATTCATATCACTACACTATTTTACAATCATTATATGAAAGTTTTAAAAAAACATTTATGATTTTTAAAAATTCGAGTTCCGCACTAAAGATGAAAGTTCTTTTCAAATTTCATCAGTATTGGAATATAGTATTGGAATATTTTTTCATAATTTGTTTATCTAGAAATTGAATTCATGGTTATAATGTTAAACATATTATTCGTCATTAAATCTTAATTTATGAACTCTGTAACGTTATTGTTCTGTAACTCATTCACTCGTGTAGATGAAATATGACAGTTGTCATTGACTGCAGGCTTCTATAATGATTATCTTGTAATATATCATTTTGTTTTTTTCTTCCCGATAATATGTACAGTCAGCCCAGCAACAGACAAAAAACATAGAGGTTAAATACCTGCAAATTACTATATCACGATGACAACAAAACGCTGTTAATCTGTCTAAATCATAGTGTAGTTTACATTTCAGAATATTGAAATGATAGATTTCTCATTCAAGACATCAAATAATTGTCTTAGTTATATATTATCTTATCTGTGCCACATTATATCTTTCAAATGCGATAGTTTTGTTAGACCATACATTTGTTAGATAAATTTATTAGACACTTATTAGATAGTGAGGAGAAAAATTTAAATTTTAACATATACATATGTTCCGGTTTCAGTTTATATCATAGATTTTTGCAAAAGCCAGAGTTTTTGGTTTGTCACTTGCTGGATATTTTTCGTCTATATTTTGCACAGGCGCCACTGCTATTCCTTCTTAGTACCGGTCCCAAAACAGTGTTCATATATATTATATTATTTTAAAACCTTTGTTTAAACCGTTTATAAATACTTATACCTTGTCTGTATTTATTAACACTGAATCAAACCTACAGCTATTAGTAGGTCATCTACATATATTACTATTTTTTAATTTATGATAATGATATGGTGCACGAACCAGAATGAACCAATGGAGGATATTAAGCCGAAAATGAGGTCAGGTCAGTTAGCCTATCTTGGCAAATTCACCAGGAATTTATCTCGATTGATTCCAAAGGGAACGTGGCGTGGACGTCCACCCAACATGGCATATTGCTAGCGATGTGGTATATGCCCTCGTTACTAACTATCCCCTCCCCTCTATATTACCATAACTTTCTAAAGAATACCGAGTCCTTAATTATGTAATGTTATTATTATCAATTCTCAATTTAAACAGATTAAAATCAATGGATTGGGATGGCGCTGTGTGCGCATATAAAAAAATCGAATAAATACATAAAATCGTTAGTATGTTTATAAGTAACCGCGTGACATATTCACAAATAAAGATGATAGATTATGGCGGCATTCAGTAAGTTAATAGACTTATTTTGAATACTAATAGTATTCGTATACTAAAGTACAATTTTCAACTGACTGCCAAAAATTTTTTTGAATTATGATTGTACATTTTTCTTTGTAAATTGTGCCATATTTGCGATGATAATTCTATGTGCAAATGTATTTACAAATGTAAATAAATATGATAATCTTATGCAGTATGTAGTATATACGTATATACGTATATACTTTATACATTGTTTGACGTAAAGGTGCCAAAAATATTTCAAATACAATATTAATTTTTTAATTTACACATTGATAAATACATATTACGAAGTAATTATATATACTTTGTCTAAATATATACGTATGCAAAAATTGTGTAAAAAAAACAATATGCTTAATCCGTAGGTGTGAACCCAGAAGTAGTAGATGTAATTAAATAAATATGTATTTTATTAGTATTACCGCAGACAAGATAATATTACATAGTACTGCTAAGACTTACTAATATTCTAAACGCGAAAGTTTGTCAGCATGGATGGATGTTTGTTACTCTGTCACGCAGAAAGTACTGAACGGATTTTATTGAAATTTTACAGTAATATAGATTATATATAAGAATAATATATAGGCTTAAATCTAAACGGATATTATGTAAATTGAGCGAAATATATAGTTAAATGTTGCGCGTAGTGAGCTACATATATTTTGCGACTTTGCTATTGCAAATTCAGAGTATTGTACAATACTAGGTGAATAATTCAACAAGTCTCATGTCATCTACGTCAGTTGTACCTTCTATGGGCGTCACAGTATAATATGTAGTACCTGTATTTCTGTTCATGTCTATAACCAACGGTTACCATTCCATTATTAGTTGTCTTTTGTGTTTACTATTCTTGTTGTAATTATAATTTAAAAGGAGGTCCCACTCTAAACCCACGAAAGGACTTATGGTGGGGTAGTAAGTTAACTTCTGTCCGATGTATAACTAACTAACTATACTCCAAAAGCATCTAGGGTTAGAACTCTATCTGCAGTTTGAGCCAACGCTGCCGGAGTCGCCGTAGAATGCTAACGCCTCCTGGCGAGTCCTGCAATGGCCTCGTAGTTACACCGTGTGGTGTTTTAGTGGGTAAGAAACCCACACAACCACTCGTCATCCATTTGCCCCGCCAAATGTATGATGATGATCTTTAAAAGATTTTACAACACGATAAAAAAAGAAGGCTTAGAACTTCTGTAGATAAATTCCATCACAGTTAGAATTAGATAAGGGATCAATAAGAATGTATGAATGTAGCTAGCGCAAATGGTATCTATACGTTGGTACAAGTCCATAGTGGGAATTATATTAGCATGAATATTATATTATCTGCGGTACTAGTAATACCACGATGGTTTCCAAGGGGGACCACGTGGAGTTCGACATGACATGGTAATGTATCATAATAATGCGGACAATAATCTCCAACACTAATAGTCTTTTCCCCCACAAATATTTTAAAATTGTACGTATATACGAGTATAACTCTAGTTCTAACGACTTAAACAATTCAATAATAATTTTTTTTCTTATTGTTATAGCTGGATCTTACATAATGAAAAATTATTAATAGTGCGTAGAATATTGTAAAATTTTTCATAACAATTATTTTAACTTAGCGCGTGTAGTGGTGTTGTATTTTTTATAATTTATATACCTATTTTATGTAGATAAATACCAATATATGAAAAATACTTGCAGTAAGGTTCGCCAAGAAATGAAGTACAAACAAAATTGTATTAGAACAAAACTATAAATTTAAATCCAAATTTAGGATATAAAGACATTTCTAATTACTCAAATACAACCCCTAGCAGTTCGACTAAGACGAAAACATATGTATGGTCAGTTAGTAACAGTTAAAAAATATATCTTGTAGTAATCGTAAGAACTACCAGGATAACTATGAGCAGGTAGATAAAAAAATGTTCTTGGAATGAGGTCAACAAACACATTGTTAGCATGTACAAATAAGGTGGATACGTTCATTACACGATGTAACGGAAATCCTCTAAGAGAAATAGTTAAGTTTTACTTGTTCAAAACAGAGCATTGTCATGTAATGTTATATACATATAGTCGCTAAATAAATGACGGTCTCAGTGGTCACCGCTTTACTTACGATGGTCGTGAGTTCAATTCCTCGCAAGATGCAAACATTTGTATTCATTAGTGTGATTGATTGATTGTGATTTCTATATATTAAATATGTATTTACAAAATAATCTAAGTAATTATATTAGTTGTCTAGTACCCATAACACGAGCTCCGCTTAGCTTGGGATTAGATGGCGTTGTGTCCAGTATTAATATTATTATTATTATTAAAAATGTCAAGTTTTCATAGTTAAAAGGCAATATTTGAATACACTACTGACACGACGTGCTATTTTAGCAATTTAAGCACTTTCCTTATATGCTTCCTTCTTTTTCTCATCGACATTTTTATTCTTATAAGAGTAAAAACAAATATAGGGAAAATATCTTAGCTTGTAGCACCGCACAAAATTTTGGTAAAAGTTAAGAAGTCGGAGAAGTCATTAGCTTTTAGGGATAAATACTATATTAAGTATCTATTTAGTTGTACCAATTAAAAATTATCGTAGGAAATTCTGTTTTGTAATGTATGTAAATTGTTGTTGTATCCAAAAGTCAAAATTCTATTCTAAATTGTGAACACTAAGTCAAATTTATACTAAAATAATCTTCTTTTCGGAATATACATAATATTTTTTTAAATTACGATATTGTTATCAGTACCTCTGTTTATTTTTATACAGAAAAATTAAATAATACATTTGGACGTTACAGTTATATAATACAATTTATAAAAAAGATACAAAAATATATAATTATACGCTTAGTTTTAGTAAATTATTTAAGTTTTTAGCAACAATTATACTCATAAAGTATTTTTTTAATTTATATTTAAATGCCACAATGCAATGAAAAAGTAAAATATATATTCAGATTTTTAAAATAGAATAATATTATATATATAAACGTATTGAAATTAAAAATAAAATTACTATGTTACACCGTAAAATAATATAATATTTAAATTGAAAAACTCTTCTTTTAATTTATATACGTTTTAGAATAAAGTTTTATGTATATAAATAAAACTTACTTGTGTGTGACCGGCGTGGTTTACAATCCGTGTTTCGTAAAGATCAGCGCGCGTGATCTCCTGCGGCCAGACCCGAACTGAGAATGAGATCTCATCTTACGACAGATCTCATGTATACCGACCTTGGTGTCAATTGCGCCATGAGTCTGCATCATTGAGACTTTTACCCGAACTAAACAACTCAATTTTTCGTCTAATTCAAAATTATTTGTTTATAATACCGTGATTTTATTTTAGCATTTTTTAAATTATTTTATTAGATGTATATTAGAAGTACTTAGGAAAAGAAATAATAGATAAGTAAGAATGCAGGAGAATCTTTTGTCCACTTATTTTATTTTTATTAATTTAAATATCTTAATCATCAAGGTATTAATCGACTAAAATAAATTTCATTATAACTGTAAAAAACTATGTGTTCCATTGTATATGTCTATTAGACTTTCCGCTGATTGAAACACCAATAACAATCCGAATTAATAAGAAACACTGTGCAAATGAAATAAACAAATGACACATTCGTTAATCTGCTTTACTGTCGCAATGATTTATATAATAGTAGGAGATATGGTACAAGAGAGATAAAAGAGGTGTGACTATTTGATAATGACAATCTTCATATGTTAGATAATATGTATATAAAATATCACATGGCTAGATACCTGTAATAATGCGGAATAGATTGACTGAATAATAGGTCATTGTAACTTATAGAAAGAGCTGGATTAACTAATTAGAGGGCCATAGAATACAATTCTTGGGGCCCCTATACTTGCCCTACCTTACCACGTGCTAGTCCAGTTTTTGTACTTATTTTTTTTCCCTACTGTCCGTAGGGAAGTAGGGGAAAAAAAATAAGTACAGTTTATTGTGTAAGCATGATGTATCAATTGATAGTATGCGTCGTAAAAAGTGATAAAACAATACGTATTATTAGGGGGAAAGGGGATTGTCAGTAATTTGAACTAATAACCCTATAGCAATGTACCATGTCAGGTTGATCTCCACGTGGTTTCCCCTTGAAACATCTTCAACAACTTAATGGTGAATTTATCTCTAGCGAAAACTATTAGCGCAGGCGGGTCCACCATTTCATTGTCATCCATGAGAACACCTATTAATATTGAGGATTTAAAATTTCCCAATTAAATTTGCAGGCAATGAAACAGTCAATTTCTTTTGCGCATACAAATGCAGGGCCCCTAATTTACGCGGAGCCCCTTCTTAATGGTTAAGCCGTCTCTGCTTTTGATCATATAGAAAAGTCTTTTATGTAGTCAATACAAAGTTATACTTGTAGTGTCAATTAACCGCATTTTCACGTGCAATGAGTCACGTGATTAATTTGTTACTTCCAATATTTCATAAGAAGCTCGCTCTAGTTATGACAGTGCAGCAACTGGCATGTTCTACTGAGCAAGTGGACTAAACGCTCCACTGGTGTTTGCAACAATTTTGGAACTATTCATAGACAATATTTGGACACAACTTATTTTGTAATTTACGTAACTCTTGTTTTAAAAATAATAATAATATACCTAGACAATACACACCGCCATCCAGTTCCAAGCTAAGTAGAGCTTGTGATGTAGGTACTAGACAACATATATATATATTTAGTTCTTTTTTTTTGTAAATACGGACAAAACGAACAGGGAAAACAGTCAGATCAATACAAACAGCCATAACATTTGAAATTTATTGTGCAACTAATGACCCTCTCTTACGGGTATAGTATATCATACTACACATCGAAAGCAACATCAGAAATTACTGATGATGGTGTCGATAAATAAAAACTGTGTGAAAAGCCGTTCAGTAGTTTTTGAGATTATCCCGAACATACAGACAGATTTTGTTTTACAATTTGTAGATTAACATATGTTTGTTTTGAAAGATTATTTAAATAATCTTTCAATACGATTTTATAGATGACTTAATAGGCATAGGTAAATCTATAGATTTCTATTATATTTCTCATTTGCATTGCATATCTTTTGTAAATATTAGTATTCTAAGTAAAATATTATTATTGTAAGATGGAGCGTCAATACTGTCGACCCCGAATAATTATACAAGGTCAAGATCATTAAGAATATAGCAAAACATCGGAAATCTCTTAAAATTAAATATTTCTTTAGTACTATGTACCAGGGCATTGTTGTTGTAGATAGATCTGAGTTAAAACATATGAATAGACAAGAAAATGTAAAAAAAGACTTTAATAGTAAGATTCTTAACGCAAAACAAATGTATAATAAAGTAACATCTCTGTAATCAACACAATACACATTGAGCAATAACTTTGGTTGACAAAAATATTAGACAAAAGTAATCTATACAAAAATTAAAACAAGTAATTGTAAACATAGCAATGAAGCGACAGTAAAGAAGCTAAGAAAGTACCTCATCAAAGAGACAATATGGAAACTTATTGTTTTGTAATAAGGTGTTTATTGACAAACTTAAGTTGTTATGCTTCTTGCGAAGTAATTAAAGAAGTTGTTGTACTTAAGTATAAATATAAATTAGAAGTTATTATAGTTATAATGATGAAACAATGACTTTTATTGATAAAAATAGAAAGTAAATAAACGTATCACTATACTAGTAATACGTTAGTTTAATTAAAAATTGAATTTTAGAATTAGATGTTATCATTTATGTTAATTCTATGTGTTTAATGTTAGTTGCTACTATAAAATCAGCATTTTACTTTACATGCAGTACAAGATTCACAATACAAAAAAATTTCACATATACATTATGACAATAACAAATGACTATTATTTAGGTAGATAAGCATTTCTTATAGAGTCTTTAACAATGATGAGGTACTCTAACTAACCTACTTTCGACCCTGTGGACAAGTGGTAAATGATTCAATTTTCTAAATACGTTTCAGCCACCAACAAAGAAAAGTAATCTTTAGAAATTACGACAAGCTAGAAAATTCTTCTTTCAATATCCGTATGCCTTTCAGAAAATTATTCCTGCTGTTTCTTTCCTTTTCTCTTTGTTTTTTTTTAAGTAACCTAAACGTATTTATACTTAAATTCAATTACCACTTATTTAGAGACTTTGGAGATCAATCAATAACTAATTGACGGAAGGAGCCGTCGATGCCAAACAGCTCATCATAGTTGGTTGGCTTGCCAGGTCTCAGCTCTTCGTTGGCCTTCAAGCTCTCTTGTGATGTAAACCAGGGGGTGTATTCTTCTAATTTCTTAACCCATGCCTCTGCAAAAAAACATTCTTAATCATTATTTTATTCCTTTGTAAGCACTACTGTCATTATATTTTCATGTACTTAAGTATTGTTTATGACATATAGGTTTGAAGAAGAAACAAAGGGTCTTAAAATTTTACTGTTATTAGAAACAAGTTTATTCTGCAAATATTATTACAGCGCTCACACCTCATATACCCTATATAGGTAAAGCAAATAAGACTATTAAGTTGCAGAGTAATTTATGACACAAAATGTTTGTCATTTGTATACATAAAGGTAAGCTTAATTTATATTTTTAAAATGATGGAAATCTTAAGGAGTTATTTTAATACGCGTATTATTTATACCTGCGTGCCTTTGTTTCTACCGCTCTACAACTTAACTATTATTCAAACATTCACTGATTCAATGAAGTTATTCCTCTTATAGAATAACTCTGATATTGTTCAAAATTATTTCATAAGGTCTTGTCGTATTTTGATATTACCAATATTTTACCATAAAGCTCAATATTTCAGTACCCTAATTTAATTAAGAACTATTTCTATATTCTTAGAAGGTAATTATTTCTGCATTTTTACGATATAATGGAGGATTTGCAATATATTAGCTGTACGTTGTCTTGCTTGCTTTTCATTCACATCCGTTCACAAATATTAGAAGATCAAATACCTATTAATGGACATATTCGCAATTTTTTATGTTGTTGCATTGATAATACTTATTGAATATATTAATAATACAATAGTGAATAAAACTTGTCCATGTGACTGTCTTTCCGTTAGATTATTATAAGATGTAAAGGTCTAAAAAACCCAAGTGATGGAAAGTGGCATGCTTATGTACATAAACAGCATCACATGTCAACAATATTTAACGATCGTAATTACTCTACCAGATTGTTACACCTACTACTATACACGCCTCTGAACTCTATAATTTCACTGCCTTCATCATCTTTTACACCTCAACAAAGTTTAGAGATACTTGGCGGCAAAAAGAGGTGACTATGTAAGAAATTTACTTTAGCAAGATGTACCTATTAAAATGTCGAGTTACATAAAGTTGAGATTCTAAAACGCATTAAACTAAAATCACAATGCGCAATGCAGAATATTCTACGACTTTATAAACTACCACTAATTATGTAACCTAATAAATTGCCGAGTTGGAACTTTGTCTCAGTTCCCGGTAATCATTAAATCCTTAAAACAAGGTTAAGGGTCAGAATTATTAATGTTTTACGTCGTGATTTCAAATGTTATTGTTTGAAAATAATTAAATATTATGCTTAAGTGTGTAATGGAGCGAAATAAGGTAGTTAGTCATCTGTTACTGTTGTGGAAAACGAAACATTAGTGTTTTTTGTGTGTTTAGAGTAATTAATTCTAGTAATTGGTATCGCGAGCAAGGCCACAGAAAACTATTAGTATAGTCGTTTAAAGGAATGCCTTGAAAAAACCCGATAAACTGTATTTCTTTTTATTATAAAAGGAAAGAGTCAATTTGCCTTTTTTCATAAAAAATCATATGTTTTATATATTGTATTTTTATATAAACAAAGTCAAACGCTACTTATCAATAGAATATACCTTTGATCTTTTGACCCTCTATCCGTACTTGTGGGTGTACTAGCGTGATGATAAACTGATAACTTACTGTGGAGGTCTGCCATGGAGCCAGCATTTCCACCGAACTCGGCTGGGAGCATTTCCTTAGGAACATACTTGTACAACTCATTGGCATCCGAGTGAAGGAAGATCTGAAAGAATAATTCAAATTTATTAACGTCTGTATAGAGGAAATTTTCAATTAGTTAGTATTTAGTGGAGTAATATTGCAGAATAATAATAAAAAATGTTTTGCGCTCTTAACAGATCAGCAGAAAGAATATTTACTGCCATTTATTATTTTATTATAACAGTAATTATAATAGTTTATTATTCATAGACGAAAAGAGATTATTATTAGTAGAAATACAAACTTTGAAACTTATTATTTTTGAGCTTCGTTGTCCGTAAAGACATGAACAGTGTTGAATAAAAAACTACAATAATAACCCATTATATGATGTTGGTTCCATGCAATCCGGGTCGGGTCGCTATTATATACTAAAGATCATTGTCTCTTCTGGTTTAATAACTTTTATTACAAGGATACGTACAATCGTTTCATTTTGAGGTCATATTTGCATAGAGCTAGATTTTTCCGTCATGAACCAAATAAGGTGTTTAGATTTCTAAATTCAGGCTTACATCAGTGATTTTCTCTTTAGTTCTTTTTTATAATATATGTCTTTATATAGTATAACATAGGGGTGCTATCATTCTTTTTTTATATTTTAACAGTAGGTACAGCGTTATAGCCTAACCTAATACTGTGACTTAGATGGTAATGAGCGCAAAATGCGGCACGAGTAAATAAATTTTTAATTACAAAAAAATATATTAGTTAACTTACCCTTTCTTTGATCTTATCCTTGATGAATGGTTTGACAAAGTTAACAATCTTGTCTACCAATGGAGATATGTTGATGACATGCACCTCCTTTAGTTTGACTGGGTATGCTTCCTGTTGATCACAAATAATTTATTTAAGTAATTACGCCTGATGTAATCACCTGATGGTAAGTCGCTGTAGCGAACTCTTTGATGGGTTTATATTTTAGAATTTTATAATCATATCTCTTTACTATATTCCTTTTTAAGCATTCTACTATATATTTTTCTCACAAAACCTCTCACTCATCAGGTACATCAGAGACCTCCGCATCAGTGACAACTGTAGCGATACACAGTGCAGTACAGACATAATGTATGTGTAGTCGTCTGCGTGTGTAAGTATCTTTTAAATATTTTAGCCGCCAAGCAGCTTGCTTTGTTATTTTTTAGGTGGAAGGGTTATAAAGCAGTAAAAATTATAATAATAAGTCCAGACAATTTATACAGCACCGTCTAGTACCAAACTAAGCAGTGCTTGTATTATATGTACTAGATAACATATAGACATACTTAAATAGATTTTGGGCAAATATATATTTGCTACCTACGTAGTAAAAAAAATATATACATAGAAAATTCCCAGACCAATACAATGATAAACATGTTTACATCGTACGAGGACTCCAATCTACGACCATAAGAACTAAGATAGTGTGTCAACCTTTTGATTATAGAGAGCGAGCCGTGTAATTTATATATGTATTTTGCAATTTCTATGCCGAATATACTAACCTGTACACAAACTAAGAATTTCTTCACCAGTGTTGGCGTGAATTTGGCGAAATGCGTGGGTGTAGCGACTGACGCATCCAGAATGTATATATCGCCGGCCACACCTTCCTTCTCTTCAGCCAACCTCACGTCTCCCAACATGAGAGCCAGTTTGAAGGCATCAGCCACGTTTGGTGTCTGAACATCTTTATCGAGACCTGGAAATATTTATTTTGTATTAACACTAGTAGTTTTAGTTTCCCTTACCGTGTTTTTTATTTAATTAAGTATGTATTATAATAATATATCAGGCCAATTTACACAGCGCCATCTAGTCTCAAGCTACTTAGAGCTTGTGTTATGGGTACTAGACAACTAATATAAATACATAGATACATTTTTTTAAAAACATCCAGACTGATACAAACAATCATATTCATGAAGACAAACGTTTGTACCGTGCGAGGAAACGAACTCACGACCATTGGGAGTAAGGCGGTGTTCTAAACCGCTAGACTACCGAGGCCGTCAAATATACATTATATTAAAGATACATTATATTATATTTGATAAACTTATTATTTATATCATAGCCATCTAACAAAAGTGAGCTTGCCAATATAGTATCTGAATAACTACACACGTTTTCTCTTCAATAAAATCTATTAGAGCTTACCATGCTGCCTGTTACGCACTTTCTTCCCTGTGCATAAAATCATTCCCACAGATATAGAAAAGTAAGAATATTACAGAAAAGATGTAGAATAGAATAGAATAGAATAGAAAATCATTTATTCAAATAAACTTAATTTAAGCACTTTTGAATAGTCATAACAATTTGTTTTTTATCTACCACTCGTTCGGAAAACTGTTCATCACAAGAAGAACGAGCAAGAAACTTGTGTGTTGCTCTTTTAAATAATCCTTGTAAGTTTACATTTACAAGTCCAAACGTGTGAATACAAACTACCAACAAGCACTAATTTTTGGGTCAAATATAAATATGCAATAAGATTAAATCAGTCGTAGTGATAAGAGCAGACCCTACAAGCAGCACTCGTTCACGAGTATGACGGATGAGCCAGCCATCATTGTGCTCGACCATATTTTAAGGAACCCGGCCCACCACGCCGCCACATGTCTGGACATTTCAGTGAGCATAACTACTCATTCCACACGACCACGTCACAGCTACAAAAATTACTATTTAGTTTATTCATGCGGCAATCAAACAAACATATATGTAGAAAATTAAAATTATAACGTTGTCCGCAAATAAACTTATTCTTGCTATATATTGCTATCATCTAAAATAACGCTTTTTTACATAACATTTGTTTAATATAAGATTTGAATTGCCTCTCTGTAAGATTTAGCGTAGACTCTGGCAGTTTATTTATTTTACCATAAAATGAATTACTAACTTTGTGTAGACGGCATTTAGGTAAAATTAGCTTATTTTTATTGCGTAAGTTTCTACTTGTACAGTCTTTAAGTTTCTTGAAACTATCTAAGTTTTTCCTTGTATACATAATATTTTCATAAATGTACTGTGAGGCAACGGTGAGGATATTTGATTGTTTAAAGCATTGACGTAATGACTCTCTAGAACCCATACCATAAATAGAACGTATGGCTCTCTTTTGTAAAATATGTATATGTTATAGTTATCATCGATAGTTCTTGCAGGAAAGAGTAATATAAAAACTAATAAACATCCATTTACCCATTCATCCTAACAAACTTTGTAGTAAAGTACTTATTAGAAAAACAACGTCAGGAATATTAATTTAATAAATTTTACCTCTCATGATGGTAACTCGGCGACCTTCAGGAGTAAGACCAGGTAGGGGTGGCATATGGCTGAAAAAGAAAAGACTAATTAGAAATCCATTGCAATTATAATAGAAATATATATAAAGACATACATAAGAGTAGAAAAACATAACAAAAGAAATTAAATTATATTATCATATTGTAATATAGCGTGCTCAATAATAAACTGTATAAATAAAATATAAGGTTTCTTGAAAACCTATTTGTTTGCCATTGTTATAAAGTCGATATGACATTGTCAATTTTCTTGAGTTAATACATTTGATTATTAACTATACGATATATAATAAAATCGTAAATGAACCGTGCCTGTACATTAAATATTTTATAAAAGAAACAATTAATACGCCGTTGTACTTATGTTAACGACATAAAAAACACGAGTCTAGAATTTTTAGACGATTAAGTTTTTTCCAATGAAGTTTTTACTAATGTTTTTTTATATTATGATGGTGGCAAACTTGCATACGGCTCATATGATGGTAAATGGTTATAATAGCCTATGGACGCCTGAATGAAAATGTCAATGGTCCATTGTTAGTAATAGACTTATTAGCTTATATTACTAACGATCTCCGCTCACACTATACATAATAAGAAAAATATGAAGAGCAAATTTTTAAATTTAAAAAGTTGGGTTAATTATAAATGACTTTATACAATGGTAGCACATACCGACTGACCTATTATTGTATCTAGATAAATGCATACAATTACATACATAAGTGAACGGCTCACTAAGCATGCATGGCTCGCGTGATCCAGATGCATACTTCAGAATCACACGATATAGACTAGCATGCTCAATGAGTTACTACATGACTGTAATTTAATTTTATCGCCAGTTTCTTTCAATTTCTGTCTTAAGAAACAGTAGTAGATTACAATAGTAGTAGTATAGTTAATAAGTTTAAAGACAAATGAGGGGTATGATTTGTCATTAGACTCAAAAGTATATTTATGTATTACAGTATCGTTCCATATTCATCCATTGCAAATATGTGTAATATTTTCAATGTATGAATATGGAATCATGTCAATTTGCTTATTAGTGAATATACCAGTACTGCATTATACATACATATAGCTGTGGAGGGTGACTGAATAAGAATGAAAGTAGGATTGTTAGATCATCGTGGTCAATTCCCCAGGAATTAAGCACTACTATTTCCTGGTGAGACCACGTTTCCTGAGAATGGTGTCACTAACAATATACATTACTAACAATCTTCTCTCTTCTAACTGATAGACATACTCGTACTTAATGTATTCTACTTAAGTATGAATGGAACTCACAACCATTCGAACGTAAGGTGAACTAAACCACTAAATCAATGAGGTCATCGTTTGAAGAGATTTAAAAATAAATATAACTTCTAAATAAGTAGTAACTTCTAAATAAGTAGTAACTTACACCATGTTTAATATTTCTTGCAGCTCGGGACGTGTGACGTCACGGTCGGTGAAAAATTCGGGCACAGCCGTGCGCATGGTGAAATACATGTCCAGTTTACGTTTGGTCTTCTCCAGAGAGAACTTGCAGCCTCGAAGGAAGGTCATGATTCTCTGGTCATCTGTCGGAACAGTGTGATTTTATGATTTATTTCAAATTATGTATTCGAAATTTAAAATTAGAAATAAATAAGAACTAGTTGTAGAAGTAAATTTATATTCAAATAACGAACACGGTTTTTTTAAAATATTGTCTATGTTACCAGCATGCAAAGTTTTCATTCGCTTTCTATAGGCAAAAATTAATAAAAAAAAAACAACAAAACACCGTCAAGACTGTCATTCCAGATGGGGTAGTCAGCATTATCAAATGTCGATATTGTGATGAACTAATACTGCCCAAATTTCGCTGGATATATGAATTTGTTGTAAGCCTACCGTAGCCTTTCTTAATTTTTTGTTTGCTATCAGGCCGCTGAACCAGAAATTTCCAAAAAAGCCGTGAGCCTGCCTTGATCCTTTCCTCTATCCTCTGGGTTAGTCTCTAGTTTCCGTTGTCACCATTTGGGGTATTCAAGCAGTATTCATAACATTTATTTGTATAGTTATAATATATATAAGTGTATATATAAGACAACACATAAGTTTAATGGTAAAAGATACATACCAAACTCATCGGGAAGATGAGGTTGTTGCTTCAACCACTCCTTAATGTGTGCGAGGTCAGCATCTTTGGTATCTGCATTCTCATTCAGCTCCTCCCTGATCTTCTGCCACATCTCACCAGTTGGCTGTTCTAGAGTCATCTTGGCTTTGACTGGTTCTGGAAAATGAAAATGATATAAATAAATACTACTGTTTTCCCAGATGACGTAATCAGAGACGTTATAGTGTATACAAGTCTTGATATACCCATATTCCGGAGGCTATATAAAGAGGCAGTAGGATCCGCCGCGGCGTCGTTTAATTTGCTCTATACATCTTTGGAGAGTTAGTAAAAAATTGTATTACAGATATGCAACATATAATCGACGAAATTTTAACTCACGATCTTTCGGTTAAAAGTCGAACTGTAAATGTGGACTGTAAAAAACTAAGTGCAATTATAATATTGCTTTAACATTATAAATGTAAATTTTAAAAGTTCCATTTTAGTTTTAATATTACAAAATGGCCATAATTCATATTCGTACAAAAGGACTAGTTTGAGATGGCTTACAATAGAAATAGTTGGGAACAAATATAGGAGATTGTTGGATCTGAAATATTTTTAAAATCGAGTTCGCAAGAAATGTATTTTGTTACTAATGTTGGTTTCCATTAAGTAAAACTAACTGAAGGAAAAAGTACAGTAGTCGTATAAAATAAAATAAAAATATCTTAATTTACTATCCTTTATATAACTTAGATAATAAAATCATACTAGCGTACTGCTAGCAAAGAAAATTACAATAAAAAAAAATCTAATTCGAACATGCAAACAATACATTTGGTTTATATAGGTTGTGGTGTTTATTTCCATTAATTCGAACTTTGAAGTAAAACAATAGTATTGCTTAATTGTTCTAAAAATAACATTACTCTCATTTCATATCCTAAATATTATATTGCATCACAAAGATAATAGCATAGCATGATCATACTGCAAGCAACTATAATTTAATTTCCCAACGGCTGTTGACTTACGCCATCGTTTTCCACGGACCTTGGCGTTGCGTATGCGCAAATGTGATTGTAGTGTGATGATTTTGATGCAATTTCTTTGTGTTGATTTGATTGTTATTAGTTTTTGATGACTTGGGTAATTTAGCTAAAATATATTTAGAACTATTTGAATAATATTTATTTTTATGGAATTGTAAATAAAAGTAGATGGTAAATCTGACTCGAAGTGGCAACTGTCGCTTACAGTCGCCAGTGGTATTGTATTCGTACCTCTCATCCATTGCTCTTGATTTATTGATCCAATCCATTCTTAAGATTAATTTGTATTGCCCTCATACTGTAAAATATTCTGTTATCTGTATCTGTACTATTTAATTTTATTTAAAAATTGTAGCACAAGTAATGTTTCTACGCATATACATTTAAATACCTATTGATGAAAATATGAAATTCTACTATCATTAACAATAAATTAAACAATCATGTAGATTATGACGACACCTATAATTTTATTACTATTAACAATATTAATTATTTCACCCCTTTAAGAGTTTTTTACAGCCTACATATATCCCATATTTTGTGTATCAGATATCTCCAAATGTTTTAAGTGAAAACTTAACACGCAAATGAAACAAAAGATAAACAGATTCGTTTTTATTTTCCTACCTAAAGATTAATATGATTTGACTTCGAAATTGTTATAATAATAAAATAATGTAGTGTTAATAACAGTTCATTGTGAAATGTTTTCTTAGAGCCAAAAATCGTATCAGATGGAGAAAAATTGGTTTGGTGATAGAGCAATTTTTCTGAAGATGGCGATGAAGAGAATCCACTAAAACCATTATGAAAGCCACGAACTTCTCAAGAGTTTCTTTGTGAAGAGACCACGGCTTAAGACGATAATAAGTAAGTCACATTGATGATCATCTTACCCGTTCCACGAAAACATATACACCGTACTGGTGTTAAAATTACACGCGTTGTAACATTAGGATTTCTCTCCACAACACTAATTTCATTGGATCTGTATCGCTTATTGAATGATCGCGTTTCTGATGTAGTACGAAGCGATTATATAGACTGTATAAGAGCATAAGGATTTCACTAACTAACACGTAACAGTTAAAATAACGCTAGGTACTTAGAGTCACGCGACTTACCCACCGTAACGGTTTTCGTGGTAGCAAAAAAGTTATTTTAATGAGTTTTTTAAACAATCTAGCTTTCACCGCAACAGTAATAAATACCGTGATTTTAAAAAGAGAACTCTGCTTATTCATTTGGTTAAATCATAGTTTGTATTTATATAAATTGTATATAGGTACACCTAACAGTATCATATCAGTGATTTATAAGAAATGGCGTGGTAGTTGTTGTTACGGGATTTTCTATATAAACTTACATTGTAAATAAACTGGCTTCTAAAAACAAAATAAAATAAGATATTCAATTGAGTTTCTTGCCAGTCTTCTCATTTGGATCTACATATATGCTGGACTGGACGAGAGGGAATAAAATTTAATACAAAAAAGTATGAATCATGAATAAATGATTTTTTAATTTGTATTTGAATGATTAAAAAAGATTTGATAATTTTTTTTTCAGAGATCACTAATAATTAGATTTGTGGAATATTTAATTAGTTTCACTAAATAACCAAATTATATAAAAATCACTTACTAATATTATAAGTGGAAACCTCTCTTTTTTGTTTATTACAATGGTATCAAACGAGCATACACCCCGTCTGATGGTAAATGGTTACAGTAGCCTCTTGACGCCTGAGATACCTGTGTCTGTTTGTATTACGTTTTCACGACTAAACGCCTGTTTTTTTTTTTAAAGTAGCAATGAAATATCGTGTATGTCCATTATAGACACTTATGTTAAGTTAAATCTACTGTCAGTTCGGAATATCTCTATGCTCTTAATTAATTTCTCTAGGTTTCGAATTACAAAATTATCGACTTTTCGTCTCTCCACTGAATATTTTTAACGAAGACAACTTAAAAAATCTTCTTGGAATACCTTTCCCAATATTTGCATACCTACCGTAAATATTGGGCGAAAAAAATTATATTTGCAGTCAGTAGCCGTAAAATTCAATTAATAAATTTAAACCGTAAAAAAATATTTTTAGGAAACGCCTTATCCAACTAACTTTAAAAATGAGAAAGTTCTCTGTCCGTATGAGTTCATGCTAATTCTATAAATGTCTGTCTGTCTGTTTGTTGCTTTTTCATGACTCAATGTCTGAACGGATCTTAATGATAGGCTATTTTATCACTCTATTTAGGAATACACAATAATTTTTGGTGTCGTCACATTTGAATATTGGATGTTCTCAGAAACTTTCGCATATTTGTCTTTATTTTTAACTTAATTATAGATAGGAAATAAAATCGTGAAATCGTAACGAGGTACAAGTTATATATCCTCCAAAGAGAGGAGGATGTACATATTTTTTATATATTTTTAGTAAGCCATCTACAATCCATATAATTTTCTTATAAAAAAATAGATTGCGTTATATATTATTTACGTTATATGTTTATAATATTTAATTAAAGCTCAAATTAAAAAAATATTTATTAATTAGCAAATTCCAGTCACTTTTGCACTTTTAAGTTTTTTCTATTAATATTATTTTCGTGTAGTTCAGTTTTCGGATTCAATTGGGGAGAACTGACTTTTTTTAAAGCCATTTTTCTTTTTTATGATATAAACAAACAACCCTGATGTTATTAGGGACAAAAAGCACCCGCGACGTTAAGGGAATGACAAGTACGTTGCCGATATTTTAAAAAGGAATAATATAAGTATCGGTTCGGAAATACTATTGCTGGAAGTTAAATCTACAATGTGACTGACTATACATGGCACAACAGTTTTTAAAAAACCCACGGCGGTAGACTGCCATTCATTCAGATTATCGGGATGTTATTTTAATTTCTAACGGGTAAAAGTAGTTTGTTGTAATAATATATAATTAACATACTTCAATCTAACTTTTATACCGTTTTGTTAAGATATAAATAGACACTCGTTTCAAGCGAGAAAATTATTAGTCATTATCAGTTCTATTCACGATCTAAATTATATGTTTTATCGTCACTTTTCTCTTCATGTAACACTTTTTGCGGCTGATTGTTGAACCGTATCTAACGATGTCTAATGATATACGTGCGGAAGTCACGTAGAAAATTTTGTTGCGAAGATATTTCGTTATTATTATGCTGTCGGCGTTTCGTTGCTATTTGTTATTTTAAAATGATTCATTTAATACTTGTATAAGTCGTTGAACGGTGCCATTGCTCTTTGTAAGCATATTTTTGTATCTCAATTTTAATTGAAGTAAATGTACAAAATAGGCTTTGTTCACCATCCCTTTATACCTTTGTAAAAATTATAACATTTCTAAACGAAAGTAATAATATGTAGTCTAACTATAACAATACTATGACGAAAAAAGCTTTGTTGCTTGGAACTGATAAACTCCAAACCTACTTGACAGAATTTATTGAGGGTAGTATAATGACGACTTCGGTGGTCTAGCGGTTTAGCGCACCGCCTTACTTTCCGATGGTCGTGGGTTTGATTCCTCGCATGGTGTATCAGGAGTATGATTGTTTGTATTAGTCTGGGTGTTTTTTATGTACATTATGTATTTAGTTATAAAAAAATATCTAAGTATTTATATCAGTTGTATAGTACACATAAAATAAGCTCTGCTTAGCTTGCATGACCCTATGGGTATTATATATGGTTAATATTATTGTTTAAAAAAAATAGCATCTCTTTTTGCAGGCAAAGTTACATTATGCCTAAGCTGTACGTGAGCTGTAATTTATTTAATAAAACTATATGAACAAAGTTAATGATATGTTAAATGTAGAAAAGAGCTTTGTATTTTCATTAATAAAAAAAACACATATTTCTTTCTTTGCCGGTCCTCGCTTCGCTCGGGTGATTATAACTTTGTGAGTTTAATATATATTAACATAATTATATATATATAGCCAATGTCACTTTGGCATAATGTACCTTTCAAACAGTGAAAGAATTTCTCAAATCGGTGCAGTATTGCCCGGGTTTACTTCCCTCATAACAATATCTGTAATCTCATTTATAAATGAGAATTTAAACAAAATTATGCGCTAATTAATTTTTCTTCGACAATTACATGAACAAATAACTCTCCCTAACACTGTTTCGATTAATTATTTTTTTATTGTTTATCAAGTCTCTATGACATTGAATTCAAAATTTGAATAAAAATGTCATCGTTTATTTCGCGTCAACACAGTATATCAGAGAAAACATTTTCCCCTCAACCCCTAAAACATAAAATTATTATATTTGTTTAATATTGAATGTTTGCATTCTAGATTTCTCTATGTATTGAACCTTTGCAACTGCAGAGATTCAGTACATAATAAATTAGGGGCGAAATCTTCCACTATCTACTTTGTTTGTTTTTATACACTCGTATTTATTAATCTCACCAAACACATCCAAAAACACAACACTGAAACATCCATACAAAATAAAAAAATGAAATCACCTTTGTAATGGAATATCAAGTCACACGCCAAACTTTCAACAATAAAAACACTGCCACTTGAACGCAACGTGTTTGAGTCTTTAAAAATCACTAGAAAAGTAAAAAAATCTATGGAACTATATTTTTTAAATTTCGCAGCGCGGGCAAACGCGCTCTTTCGAATGAGTTCGATTCAGCCAGCGGACGCTTTTTATGATTTCGTCACGCGATATGAACGCGGCTGCAATTGCATTTGGAGGGAAGGTGTTGGGGTGTATGGTAGAAATAAAAGTAAGGGTTCCATCTCTATCTACAGGGTTAGTCTAAAGGAAGGTACTCAGAGAAAAGCCTGAAGATAAAATAGTTAGGAAATTGTATCACTTTCACCAAGAAACAAAGTGAAAATTAGAGAATATTTTAACATTTTATGAACTCTTACATACTATATTGAAGACATCTTAATTATAAATATTACACTTCAAGGGGAAATTTGTTTGTTTTGATTTTTTTTTTTCGAATATTCTAATGCTGTTAGCCGCAGCTGGCCTTTACAGCTTAACCAGACGTTAGGGGGCGAGTGCAGATGGCACACCAAACCCGTGGAAGGACTTATGGAGCGGCTGAAGGCCAACTCCTGCCTGACGGATACGACTTTGTCTGAGGGCTCCACTAGGGGTTCGAACCCCGGCTCAGGCCGTCGTAATATCTATCTCCGTTTGAATTGGACGGGCTTCATGTTTTATTTAGTTTCATGTTCATGTATTATCATAGGGTTTGGCTTGATTAAGCTAATCTTTGCTAGATTTATAAGAAAAAATATCTGAAGAAATAATTTAAATAGATTAGATTTTAGTTTATGATGGACTGAATGTTTTCTTTTTTTTACCTATACTTAAAAAGATACAGTCTTAATGAGTAATATAAGATATATTTTACGCCGTAAAATAAAGCGAGACTACTTAAGTCCTTGGTTCTAGTTTTTAACTGATTAAATTTTTGTTGTATGCAGATCTTCTTGAATTCTGCGCTGTAAAAATCATATTATCATTTAAGTAATTAGTTAAATGTTCAGAACTTTCTCAAATTTACTTATTATATATTTTGAGGAACGTTAGTAAGCTTTGGATTGATACAAAGACAGTTAATCTGATGGAAAACTGTAAAGTATAGTAATTAACATCATAACCGTTACACTATAAAATTTACAGTACTCGGGATCGTTAATCTATATATCTATATACATATAAATAAAATTGGAGTGTCTGTTTGTAATATTGAAATAACCGTTTTTTACTACATGCACATGAATATACAGTACATACACCAAAATAACATTTTTTACATCAATACATACGGTTATTTCATTACAAACAGACACTGCAATTTTTTTATATGTATAGATTAATACTATATGTACAAAGAAAGAATTGAATTGATAGAGGCTGTCAGTGCTCTTTCACTATTATTTCGAATCATTTGTTGAAATAATATTACATGTAATGCTTGTAGTAAAGTTGTGTAATGTTCCCGTGATTTACACCTAAGCTATTTGTTAACGCTTATTGTTAACTTAAATAACATATAAAGTATAAGCAAAGATAATAATTATATAGTCTAGTATAGTATAGTTATACATAGTATTTAATAAACTCTGTGGAAACTATCATGACAAATTCCTGGTGAATTTGTCATGGTGGGCTAACTGACCTAACCTCATGTTCATTATATCATCCTGCACTGGTGCCCCGCCAACGCAAACCGTTAGCGCAGGCAGGTGCATTAATCTATGAAAAAAATTTACCTAATAAAGAAAAGAAGATACACAAGGAATCAAAACGCAACCACTGAACCAAGGTCGTAAGTAGGTAATTTTCTTTTGCATCACTCATTTTTAGGGCACGCAGCCACTGTATATTTGCACGCCACCATCTTACGAAATGTAGACTATTTCAATGCACTATTACAATAGCAATAAGGTCCAATATAACAACGTAAAAGCATTAGATGGTAGAGTAGTATAATTTGAAGAACATAATGTGTAATACGGAGGCTAATGACTGTGAGTCACCGTTTGTGGTCTGCAGGTTTACCAACCGACTTTAAAAAGAGGAGGTCCTAAATACTGTGTTTTTGGCGGTATGCGTTACGTTATATCCTTTCTAATTCAGTTGCGAATTTGATGATTCTTTTTGTAATCAAAACGGTTATTATAGTTTATTTCCTATATACAGAATATTAATTTAGAAAATTGACAGATTTCAAGAAGGATCGTATTTTAGTCTTCTAAAGATCTACACCGTTCTAAAATTTCACAACGATTTATAACGACTATTTTTTAATTTATAAATGTAGTATTAAATATAATAGTATTATCGTTTTAGTGTTATGTTAATTACATTGGGATAGGAGTTTCTTTATTATCCATTTTAGGAAAATTTTATGTTTGTATCTATGAGTATCAAGGCTTCATACTCATAGATATACCTATAATATTATTGACCTTTAGTAAGTTTAGTTTTTAAGACGTAGGTAATAAGTAAGAAATTGGTTTAATTATTTTTTAAAAACAGCCTGAAATTTACTATAAATCTGAAAAAAGCCAGTTTACCTTCCTTACACAGAAAGATCTGAATATTATGAACATTTGTCGTTAAAGATGACTCTTGCCTTTTTTTCTGATTTAATTTGTCACCGCAGTTTGTATGGTAGAGTCTATTTTGTTTCTTAGCACTTCAGTTTCGTATTTTACTTAATTTTCGACTTGCGACTACTTTCATTAATGTTGCATTATGATTCCATTTACCATTCTTTTCATATACCCAAACTATAGCAGCAATAATAATAAAAATGTTACATAATTTAAATTATATAATTTTCAGACGGATTTACATAATACGCATTGCGTAAACCAATTTAAAAATTAAAAAACGCTGAAAGTCATGTTTTCACAATAAAGTAATTACCTACAACCAACTATAAAATTTACGTATTCTCGTATATTTCGCTACTTCATTTTGCACAACCGCAGACATTTCGCGAAATTGTCTAATAATAGATCTGTACTTTATGAATATTAAAATAGAAACTAATTAAGGAATGAATTTAAACTCTATTAGGGGGAATATAGTTATATATAATTTGTTTTTATAATAAACTAAATGGATATAAACAAGTATTATATTATTTTTTAAACAACTTAATTAAGTATATGTTTCGTAGTTAATTTTTTTATGTCATTTCATTATTTTTTATCAAAATTAACTAGGTATCACAGTGTTATTAATGATTTATGAAATTTTAACGCCCTCTGTGTTAATGCGATTGAGCACAACGGCTTACTTCAGATGGTAGCGGGTTCTATTTCTCGCATGATACAAACATTTCTATTCATTAGTACGATTGTTTACATTGATCTAGACATTTCCTAGGTATATTTTATTTAATATGTTAAAAAAAAATCTATTTGTTGTTTAGTATACCTAACATAGGCTGTCCTATTAGCTTGGAAGTAGATGGAGTTGTATGACTTGTCTAGAGTTATTATTAAATTTTGCTTCGTTCGGACAAACGGAGTTTATCGAAAAGTTTCAGAGTTATTTCGGAAATATTGTATAAAGCACCGCTCGGTGCCAGAATTATTTTGGAAAGACAAAGGTGGGTACAATGCAATGGACTCCGTAATGTCCAATCCTGATTTCGGATTTATATCTTTTTTTAAAAGTTGCTGTATATTTTACAAACATATATTGGTTATAAAAATACAATATATTTATTTAAAGAAATCTCTATTTATTTACTGCTATTTACATACAATAAACATTCTATGTAGAATGGTTAAATATAGCTACAAAAGAGATATATGTACATACCTATTGAAGAGAATGGAACCTACCCTCGGATATCCTGTGTCAGTATTCCGTCCACATCCTCGGCTCATGGGTAATCAGACATTTCATGCAAGTTATTTAGAATATAAATAGATACCAATATAGTATGTGTTTGTGTGGATGTTTTTACATCTTATATTGCAATAGTGCAACTCCATCACTGTGATTTACGTGAGAGATAAGTAACTTAGAGTTTCCATTAAAAAGTATAATATGAAACATCCTGAGAATTTATTTCATTTAGATTAATTAAATATAATATTCGGAAAAAATTAAACATAAAGCTGCCTGTACTAGGGGAAACAACTATACTAAAGACTATGCCATAAAAACAATTAAACATTACAAACAAAAAAACGAATAAACGAAGAACGGATATGTGGTGTGAAGTAAGAGCGAGAGGTATATGAGCGAAACCTCTTTACAATCTTTTAAAAGATATTGATGTGTTTAGACCTGCATTAAGTTTCATTCAAAAGTGCTTAAATTAAGTTTATTTGAATAAATGATTTTCTATTATATTCTATTCTATACGTGTATTTGCTGCTTTAGTAGGCTCCTACACGATTAGGCTGGACAGGAAGAGAAATACAAGAAGATGAGCGATGACGATGATAACGTACGGCGGCAAGCGGTCCTTTAAACTTACATCCAGGTCACAAGTCTTGGAAAATGCTTGGAGTTTCCCTCTCTGCCATACATGGACTCGGCACCTGCACGGTGAATACATGACATGCTTAACAGTTCGTCTCTCTCATTACTAGTGTTGATTGAAACCATCTCGCAAGCATGTATTATAATAATAATCTCAGGCCAATTCACACAGCGCCATCTAGACCCAAGTTAGTCTAGCGAACGCTTGTGTTATGGGTACTAGACAACTAATACAAATATATAGATATGATTTTAGATGTGTTTTTTTCGTAAATACATACATATTATACATTGAAAACAGCAGACAGGATACATACAATCATACTCATCAATACAAATTTTTGAATACGAGGAATCGAATCCGCGACAATCAGTAAGGCGGTGTGCTAAATCGCTAGACCACCGAGGTCCTCAATATATTATTATAATTGAACATTGTAACCGCTAGAACGATTTCCTATTGATTGTTTCAAACATTATAATGTTTACCAGACGTATACTGTAACAAACTGTCTGCGTCTGTGTCTGTCTCCTCCATTTCAGCCAATAAGCAGCTTGCTTTGTGGACTGCGTTTTGGTTACAATGTGTATGTATGTACAACAAACAAGTGTTCATGTACATA